GGAGGGAGGGGGAGGGGGAAAGAGAGAGAGACAGAGAGAGTAGGAGAATATTGAATTTAAAAAATAAAGGGGTGGGAAGAAAGAGGGGTAAATATAATCGTCAGCTAGTAAGAACTATACTACAGACAGAAATATTATGATATCCTAGCCACCTCGAAGAGCGACCACTAGGCCTATTTCATTGCCTTCCGATTCCCACTAAACTACTAGAAAATAGAGATTTTCATAACGAATATTTTAGTTTAGTTTTAGTAGAGGTTTTAGGGCGCTTGCAACTGCATAAGGTCATATGAGGGCCAGAAGATTAGAGGTGTTACAAGAGAGTAACAAACATAAAAAAGAAGAAGGGCGATAGATGTTTGATAGGAAAGAAGAAGCAAACTACATCAAAGCCCTCTCTTACCACCCACCCATATACAACGGATGTAATGGCACAAGATCCAACCAACACATCGGTATTGAAAAGAATTTGTAAGTTCAAACTAAACCAATAAATGCTGATTGGCAGATGGTACCCAAACAGATTATGAATACTATGCTGATGTAATCTACTTAAGGTATTGTGAGAGACAAAAAAAAAAGAAGTTCATCAGGAATGCTGGAAATCACTCAAAGGGAAGCGGGAAACGTGTTCTAAAAAAAGATTTTTTCCAGAAAGTAATGTGTTTGAGTAAAGTTAACTTGAACACAAGACTCGGTATGCATATGCCTTTGATCTGTGCCTATAATGAAGCCGGAAGTCCTAGTAATAAGGATAATGCTATTGAAAAATCATGTGAGATTTCCACTGGAAGGAACACAAGATAATAATTGATTAATTCTAAACTTTCAATTTTCAGATTGTGAAAGACGAGGAGAAACGCTCTAGGGCGCGTGAACTGATACAATTTCAGATTGTTTAAACGCTCTGCTAACAATTCAACATCAAAGCCTAAATCTATAGAAGTTTCAATCAGTATTACAGAAAGCCAGTCAGACCTTACAATGTTCAAAGAAACTTCTCCACTTTAAATGATGAAAGGTGCAGCAGAACAGAATAACGGGAGAGGAAATGGCAATTTAAGGCGGCTGAGACGTAAGGAGTTTAAACACTTCCTAAATAATCAATAATATTAATAACAATAATAATAATACAAATAATAGTAAAAATAATAATAAAAA